AAAATGTCAAAAAGCATATGCATAACATATAATAACCATTGAATTATATATGAATATAAAATAATCAAGATTTCATGCCATTCAAAATTTATATGAAAATACTAAAAAATTTAGAAATAAAATTTAAAGTAGGAAAGAATAAGCTGGAGTGAAAATAATTGTCGGAGTAGGCTACATGTGCCACACTCACTTTTTGTTGGCCATGGAAAGATATCCTCTTTGACCTCTAATCGGGTTGACCCAACCCTTCTAGATCTTGCTTTGACCCGTTCAAATTTGTTTGGTTTTTTAAGCCCGATTTGATAATTTTTTCTTGTGTTTTTCATGAAATTAAGGTTTCTAAAACTAAATTAAGCTACTATTTTTATCAAATCCATGTAAAAAATCGCATAAAAAAATGACAAAAGATATATCAATCGACCAAAAGCAATCGGATTATAAAATACATGTTCATACCCAATTTAAATTTTCTTCGAATTTCCTTGAATTTCTTTGCCTTTTGATGCAATTAAATCCTCTAAGCATTGGTTAACACAAATATTCAAAATTCATGCTTCAAATCGCATCAAAAGAACATAAAATAATGAAAAATTAAGCCAAAACTTTTATGGTTTAAGTCCCACGCACAATCCAGTTCAATTTTCTTAGTATCCAATCGTGTAAATTGATATTTTATGAAATCTAACACATTGGTTCATCTTTATAACACATGGTTAACAATATTCAAGAATCACTTTAAATTAAAACACATAAAATGTCCAAGTTTTAATAAAATCTTGAATTGTGTTCAAATTTTGAATCCAACACATGAAAACTTGATTTCTCTCTTTATAAAATGAATTATCAAAAATTGTTAGTATGGTTAAAATCCTTGTTTCAAGAGAAACAAAACCCTAATATAATTCTAGAAACATTGATTGTAGTTGAGGTTTCAGCAAGACAAAGTTTTGCCCAAAAACAATTTTTTAATTGAAAACAAATTTGAAAATAATATTTTGGGTCTAATATCATATAAAGAGGCTTTGATACTAAATGTGAGTAAAACCCTAATATAATTCTAGAAACATTGATTGTAGTTAGAGATTTCAGCAAGACAAAGTTTTGCCCAAAAACAATTTTTTAATTGAAAACAAATTTGAAAATAATATTTTGGGTCTAATATCATATAAGGAGGCTTTGATACCAAATGTGAGTAAAATTTTATAATTCATATATGAAATATTAGAACACCAATAATAAAAAAATTAATTGACATACTTGTTTAGGCAACCTTTGTTGATAAGCGAAAATAACATGAATGTTTTAGATAGACTAAGTCTTCCTCTTCGCTCTTTTGTTAATGGTAGCTCTCATTGGATAAATGTTGTTAATTAAAAATGAAGAGTGGACCTTAGCTAATTTTATTAAAACCTTAAAAGCATCCCCATCAAAAGCTTACTAGAGCAAAGGTCTTCACAAGTGTCAAATTATACTAACCTAATAAGATGTGCAAAATCCACATAAAAGTGATCATTATTACATTACTTGACCTCTTACGCATGTCTCATATTAAGACTAAACTTATCATCCAATTTTATTAAATTATAAAATTATTAATAGCTCACGTTATAAAAAATTCTAACATTAACAACCAGAACATGCATCAATTACTAGAATTGAACACTTAACTTTCATCAATAAACATTTATTCAACTATCTAAAAGTCAAAATTAACATCTGTCGTGAAAAAAAAAATGAGGTTAATCCAAAGAATGAAAACCTTGACATGTTGAGTAATATGGGCAATTGTCTAATCTTAAATCTCTGTTTCTATCATAGAATTTTATCTAACTAGTACCACCATTGGAAGATGATCCTTTATAAGTTATATACAATCTGTCAATTGAAGCATTTTTGTCTCCTGATTGACTTCTACTAGAAGAACTTCAACTAGCTTTGCAAGTTTCTTATCTACAATGTTGATAGAACTATTGTCTTGTTGATCTTTGAGCTTTCTATCAAAACCCCAAACTGGTTTGGCCCATTTTTCCTCAATTTGAGAGGCCAAAAGAGCTATAATGTTAATGTGTTCTCTAGCACCATGTCAATGGTTCCATAACTTGGCTAATCTAAAAATCCAATGGTTAACCAAGTAAATGCTTAATAGAGGGATATTGTTAGACCACCTCACTTAGGGGGTGAGACAAAAATATTAAGGGACATCTCCAGGATAAAAAAGATGAAGTTGATGGTCAACCACAAGTGACTCCACAAGCTAACCCCAACCCAACGTTAGTTGCTAAGCCAAATCTTGAATTAGGAGCACAAGGTAATTGAGCTATATTTGTTTAGCCAAATCATTGCTTTAGAGCATAAAATAATCATGGCATAGGTGTCAGCCAATTAATCATGGTTTAAGGGCACAAATTAACCAACACGTAGGTGCACAATCAAAGCATGACTTAGGGACACAAATGAACATGCATTTAGGTGTTCAATCTAACATAGGCTTAGATGCTCTACAAAACATTGGTTGGGGGTAAGCTAATGTACTTGGAAATAACCATCGTTAGAATTATCTCAATCAAGCCAATCAATGAGTTAATTTCAAGCAACTATATAATGAACCTTAGGGGGAACAAGGCATCCCACAAGCTAATAACTACCATCAACATAACCAAAGTTTTTTCCATACCTTTCAATTGCAAATCCTCGTTACCCTAGTCCATCAAAGTTATGTTCTAGAGATTGAACAATAAAAGTAAGTTCACTGTAAAGTGTGGGATGTCAATGATTATATTAAGCGGTTGTTAGGGAATTCTTTGACTAGCATAGCCTTTAAATGATATGTAGGCTTACCACCAATTTAGTTCAAAGTTGGAATTTGATTATAATATTAAATTGTATAATTAATTATAAAATATTACTAAATTAATTTAATAATATTAATATTAAAATATTATTAAAATAATATTATATATTAAATATTGTTAAATTATTATTTAATACAAATATTATTAAAATAATATTAAAATAGTATTACATAACAAAAAATTATTAAATTATTTTTTAAAATTGAAATGTTATTAAAATAATATTAAAATATGAAAATATTATTAAATTAATACTTAATAGTAACATAATATTAAAATTTATATTAAAATATTATTGAATTAATATTTAATATTCAAATATTATTAAAAAAATTAAATAATAAAATATTCTTAAATTATTTTTTAAATTTAACTTATGATTAAAATAATACTGGAATATGGAAATATTATTAAATTAATATTCAATATTAAAATTTGATTAAAATAAAACTAAATATTAAATATTATTAAATTACTATTTAATATTAACATTACATTAAAATTATATTAAAAATTATTGAACTAAAATTTAAGATTGAAATATTTCTATAATATTATTAAAATAATATGAAATTATTATTAAATTAACATTTAATATAAAATAATATTAAAATAATACTAAATATAAAAATATTATGAAATTAATGAAATAATATTTACTAAATTAATATTTAGTATTATTAAATTAGTATTTAGTATTATTAAATTAATATTAATATTATTGAATTAATATTCAATATTATTAAATTAACATTTATTATAGTTAATATTATTAAATGAATATTGAATTTTTTAAATTTATATTTACTTTATTAAATTAAAATTTAATATCTTAAATACGAGTTATTTTATTAAATTAATTTTGAATAAAATCAATTTAATATTAATTAATATCTAATTTTTATATTAAAATATTATTATTTTTTGTTTTTGTTAAATAATAATTTCTATAGTAAATTACCAGAGTAAAATGGTCTTTTAGTTTTATTCCATTCATATTATTTGAACTAATTAAACATATTAATAATAATTCTTTCTTTATTTCATTCTAAAGAATCAAGCCCATAATATATATTTTATTTTGTTTCTCTTATTTTTTATTTTCACAAAATATTAATTTCATTTCTTTGTTATTCAATTATGCGAATCAAACATACCTATAATCTTCAATGCTTCCATTGAAATCTTAAGCCTTCCAATTTTAAAATATTTAAATTTTATGAGCTTTTCAACTAAATCTTGTAATCTTAAATTTTTCAATGATGAAACCTTTAACCTATAAAATATTAATTTCATTTCTTCTCTATTTTTTTCCACAAACCAAACATACCTATAATCTTCAATGCTTCCATTGAAATCTTAAGCCTTCCAATTTTAAAATATTTAAATTTTATGAGCTTTTCAACTAAATCTTGTAATCTTAAAATTTTCAATGATGAAATCTTTAACCTATAAAATATTAATTTCATTTCTTCTCTATTCTTTTCCACAAACCAAACATGCCAATAATTTGAAATGTTTTCATTGAAATCTTAAGTTTTTCAATTTTAAAATATTTAATCTTTGAGTTTTTCAACTAAACCTAGTAATTTTAGGTCTTTCAATGATGAAATCTTTAGCTTTACAATTTCTATTTCTTGAAACCTTGTAATTTTAGGTTTTTCAATCTTGAAATGTTTAAACTTAGAAACTTTTAGGCCTTGTAACCATACACCTTCCCATCCAATAACTTTTAACGTTACATCACCTTCATTGAATCTTATAATCATAGCACCTTTCCATCCTAAAACCTTGACCCTTACATTGAAATTTAACAAAAATTTAAACTCAGTTAAAATATATTCATTTTTTTATTTACAAACATTCCAAAAATTTGAATTTATCTTCCAATTTGAGTTGAATGTATAACTCAACAATTAAATTTAAGCAATTAAAACAAATTAATTGCTTAAGTAATCTCATATCTTAACCATCTAGAGAATTTTATATGACTAATTTGGTTATACTAAAAATATATCCCAACAAGAATTATATTAAACATGAGATGTGGCAAGTAGATTAACAAATAAAAATCATATAAAAAGAAATTTAGACTAAATAAACAAAAAGATCATATAAAAAAATATGAAAAATATAAAAGTCCATAAGTCGACAGGCTACTCTTTTTTTTTTTTTTTTCTTTGGTAGCTGCCCTCGTTATTCTGATGGAAATATGTTTTGTTGTTTACCCTAAACCTATAAAACTGTGAACTTTGATGGCCAAATAAAAAACTGTAAGCATCCATTTTCCTGCAAAAATGTAAAGTCAAAGCTTTAAAGACCTTAGGATACATAACCTTTCTAATGTAAAAGAACATTTGAATGCTATGCATTCAATTGTAATCACAAAAACATCACGTCCTTCACTTTTACAACTTTTCCTTTCAATTAGGATCTAATAACTGGCAAACACCATATATACTCTGGGAACTAAAATCACTTTAGTGAAAGCCCAGAAAGCATGCCATAGGATTTGACAAACATGAAGCAGTGAAGAATCACTTGACTAATGGCCCTCTTGTAGAATGCTACTCAAAATGCCCAAGCCTTGATGTTCTGAGCAGTTACATCACACAAAAACTTTGTAATCTTCTTTGTTAATAAACATCCGGATTTGTTTCTTAATAGAACTGCCGAGGTCTCCTCCATGTGTGCTCATCGTACTCTTCTGTTTGTTCTTTGGGGCGTTCATGTTTGCACTTTAGGCAAACCTGGTTCCTACTGTAATTCAAGAAATCACATCTGCACAGGATATTGTACTGGTAAATAAATATATCAGTGTTCCTATTAAAACTTAACACGAGTGCAGTAGATAGAGAGACGTACGAAGGGCATTCCCATTCTCCAGGATTTAACTGTCTCTTGGGCCTTGCCTCTTGGCAACGTAAACACTTTCTATTACTAGCAAAATTCATAAACCCACACCTGCATACACAATCAATATTACTAGTAGTAAAAATGGATCAAACATAAAAAATTAACAGACTAGAGTTAATCCCAAAAAAAAAAAAATGAATGCTTTCTCTAAATCCGTAAGAAATATTCCATTAACTATATTTAAAATAAAAAAAAATTGCTGATATGGGGGTTTAAGAGACACCAATATGATGGAATTTTCAATGGACTTCACTCAACCCCTTTACTTTCCAGCTTGTTGATTTTCTATTTTCTCTCTTCCACAAATTGGAATACAATTGCTGGTGAAACTTCTGAATGTTTGAAAACTGAAGATTAAACCAATCTGCGTGAAAGCTAATTCTATAATCGTGTGAAATACCCATCTTGTTTTGTTGGCATACGATCAAGCATGATATATGTCTTCAAACCAAAAAATGAAACCAAAAATACCCAGCAAAATAATTGGCAAAAAGATCAACTCAAAACCTAACAGCAAAGTGCAAAGCACAAGTTTGAAGGAATAGCAAGACATGGGTTAGCAACATCACTTCACCAGTTTCAAGCCAAGCTCAATGTAAGCAATTTGAAGGTCAAATTCATGATTGGCAGTAGGCTTTGAAGAGAGATTGGTGTACAAGGAGAGAGAGAGGACCATTGCTGCCAAAGGCTCTGGAAGTAGCTCATTGGTGAAGGTTGCTAGTAATGATGCGAAGCCTTTGGATGAATGAGGAGAAAGAGAAAGGAAGAAGGAAAAGGACAGGACTAGAAAAAATGATCCCTTTGTTGAAGTGCAAATGATGGCTCTGGCCATCACTAGACTTCCAACAATGGTCTTAGAAATAGAACAATTGGGAAATATGAGATGTTGATCAGAGGAGAACAAAATCTTTGGAACCTAATAAGCATTCAACTCAGGGGAGGCTTAGGTAGCCAGAAAATCCTGTAACAGTATATATACTACTAGGTAGTGAATCTATCCATGTCAGCAACAAAGTAAGAAAAAGGACTTGATAGCACCTTTTTAAATGGTTTAAGGAGTAACTTCAATATTTTCAGAGTATATGAATTTCATAGAGTAAGAGGACCAGATCATCTGTTAAACAGACGAGAAAATTGGTAATGTGGTTTACAGGGAACTCTTCACCAAAACAACAAAAGGCATAAAGCAATCTAACACAATATCCACATACATCTTTCAATCCAACTTGACATTCTTTTCTTGAAAACTAGCAGCAGAACAAATAACTCAAGTAACTTGGATGAGGCAAATAGATTGAATGGAATAAAAAGTTAGAATATTGACAGCATCGATTTCTTTCTTTCTTTCCTTCCTTTTTTCTCTCTTGGATAATTAGATAGCATCAATTTCACTAAAACTAATTCTGATATTAACAAGGATGATCTTGAATATGTGACGGCCAACAGTAAAAATTCTATTTAATAGAGTGATACTGAAGAAATGAATATTCTTGAAAATCAGAAGGGCTCCTCAACAGCATAAATTGAAAAGCAACTTACTCTGGGCAGTTCCAATCTCCTTTCTTCATTTGAACAACATTCACACCAACCTTCTTTGGACCCTCTGCTTTACACTTTAAGCACCGTATATTTCTTGAAAAGTTCATGAAATTGCACCTTCAACATAAAAAGCAATGAATCGACTAGCTGGAATCAATAAAAAGTCTGACCATTATCAGAAACACAATTTCCACCCCTTGTATTGAACCATAATTTGTAACTCTAAGGCCTGCATGTCTGACTTATTAATTAACCAACTATTACACAAAAGAATTTGATAACTTCATTCCTTCATTTCAACATTTGTACTGATTTCTAAATATATTAAGTAAACTCTCACATTATTATAAAATCTGAATTAACAAAAAGGAATGTGCATAACAATGTATATAGTGATAAAGATGAGTTTCTCACGAATCGAACATTGATAAGGATCAACTAATGTACTTAGAATGCATTAATATTAGATGCTGACAGCTAGGAAGATAAATGCAAACTTACTCAGGGCAGATCCAATCTCCTTCCTCCATTTCAGTTTTATCACGACCAACTTTTCTTGGGCCATCTTCTTTGCATTTTAGGCATTGCAGATTTTTAGAAAAGTTCAAGAAGTTACATCTGCAATTAACAAGCAAAATTGGCTTACAACTATTAAACAGCATGCAGAGATTTTAGAAAGCAAGAACATAGGTGAATAACGTTCTATAAGAAACTTCAAATTAGTACATCTTTCAGTATGTTATATTTCCATTGGGTCATCGTTTTTTCCAACAATGGTACATTGCTCAGTGCGCATCGCATTCAGGACCCTGTTGTATAGGTATCCTATACCAGAAAGACTCTAAATCTCATTCATATTTAATATTCCGTTTTTGGTTGAATTAGGGCTATTAAAGATTGTTTTCTCCCAAGAACCTAATTACCATAGGTTGTTGCCCCTTCATGTGTAACAAGAATGTTTCCACAAAATGAAATCATGAAGGAAATATCCCTTCATTTTCTATTCAACAAGATCCTGAGAAACAACCTCAACAGTAAAGAAGGCTTCATAAAAAACTTACTTGGGACACATCCAGTCTCCTCTTTTCATTTCAACATTTTTAAACTCTCTGTCATCATTTCCACTAACAGTTTTTTCCTTTTGAGGAGGAGCTTTAGCGGCAGGCATAGGAAGTTCAGCATCACATGATGTCTCACTCAATTTTGTCAAGTCAGAAAGTAGAGTCCTTGCAGATGCATCAATACGCTCTCTGCCAGGAGGTTTCTCTCCCCCCAAAATAACAAGGGGATCAAGGGCGTAGGATAATAAGATACGCACAATGTCCACAGTACGAGCAGCTGCTTCTGCTCCCTTTAGTATCACATAAGCTCTATCACAGGAACCACGCAGATTACAAGTACTACAAACCTGCAGAAAAATGCACCAGTCACACCAACACTTAAAGTTCTTACAGGCCTGGGCAGTTGGCAGAAAATGTGCCCTTCCAAACATGAAGTAGGTTTTCCAAGACATTAGAGTGATGAAAAGCCAAATAAATTAAATAACGGTAAAATTAACATATGAAGAGCATATTTCTTGTGTTGCTGAATAAACAGCTAAAGAATTTGATACGAAAAGGGAAAACAACGTACATCCCCTTCATCGAGTTGAACATAGGCTCTCAACCTTTTAGCTGAATTCACGGCTTTTCGTAAAAGATTAGGACATCCAATCCCCACAACCGTTTCAATATCGTCAGTAGACAACAATCTGCACCAAATGGAAAGAGTGAAGGTCAACTTTGTGAACATGTAGATTATATATCAATTTATTGCTATAAAATAGACAGCCTCCAATGCCACTTATAAATCTTCAGAATTCTATTTTCTTTAAACTCTCCAGCAACTTAATACAGTAATAATCTTCCATTTCAAGATATAAGAACCAAGACCGTGTTTAATTGTTGTGCTTACTCTTTGCTATCTGCTTTTAGAAAAAAAAAAAAAAAAACAAAAAACAAAATACTAGTATTAAACATAAAATAAAATAATTAAAAACTTTGAGATAATTTAGAGGAGAAATGGAATTGGCAAGAAGTTAATGATAGCAAAGTCAAAAGACAAAGAACCCATTACTTGAGAAGATCGAAACGGTCACGAGCAAAGCTAAGGCAAGCGTCTTTCACAAAATTCATGTCCTTATAACCATTGGCCGCATCGGAAGTGGCAGCGTTATTAGTTTCAACCAAGTAACCCTTGGTCTTTAATTTTTCAATGAAAGTGATCCATTCGGGCCAGGGGTGGGGTTGAGACGCCGAATCGAGAGGTTCTGTGCTGTTAGCTTTAAATGTGTCGAGTACGGCAGCAGAGGAAGTGTGGCGGTGGAAGCGGAAGGAGAGGGAGGGGAAGGCCTTGGAGAAGAGAAGCTGAGGAGAAAAAGGAGGAAAGAGGGGTTTGCGGGCACGGATGAGGGAGTTGCTGAAGATTAAGAATGTTGAAGCTGACATTTCTTTTACTAGATTGCAACTTTGCAAGGGAGAGATGAAGGAGAAAAATTTATACTGTTTAGAGAACTTTGGTTTTCGAGGGTTTTAGAGGGTAGCATAGGGTTTTATACACTTCAGTTAAATTTCATTCCTATCTCTAATCTTTTTTATTTTGGTTTCGCATCAATTCTTTCTCAATTTTTTCCATTGATCCTAACTTTTGAATAACTATTTCTATGAGATCTTTAAACTTAGTTAATGTTATAAAATTTAACTTATAATAGAATAAATTATTTAATATTATAATCTTAAATAGTTACGTAAAACACTTTTTATTTTTGAGAACGTGAAACAAATAAAAAAATAAAAAATCGAATTAAAATATTAGTGTTCAAATTAATTAAAATCAATTTTTCTGTTATTTAGTTTAGTTTTAAGTTCAGATATTACATAATTTAATTTAATTTAATTTGATTTTTTAATAAAAATTAAAAATTAAAAATATACTAATTGAATTATATATTTTTATTAATTTTTTATATATTTTAAATTTTTATAAAATAAAATAATTGTTTTATATCTAGACTGATTTTGTGGAATATAGTTTGCCTTAACACTTAATGAGATTAATTAAATAAGAAAATAAACCAATTGAGCTTTATTAAAAAATAACTGAAATGGTAAACTTGAGCAATAATGAGAATAAGAAAGAGATTAAGGTCGGCATATCACTTTTATTAGTAGACAGGCAAAGATTGAAAGATTTATTTCAAGTTTATAGATGTATTTGTTTGGTGTTATTAGGATATGTTCAAGCTTAGTATTGAAAATAATGAAACATAAACTACTTTTAAAGCCGGAATGTAGACCAATTCAACAAAAGTTGAGGAGAATGAAGTTTGAGATATTGCTAAAGATTAAAAAAGAGGTAAATAAGTAATTTGAGGCGGGTTTCTTGCAAGTGGCCAAGTATCTGAAATGGGTAGCCAATATAGTACCTATCCTTAAAAAATATGGGAAGGTATAAATATGTGTTGATTACCGTGACTTGAATAGAGTTAGCCATAAGGATAATTTCTCTTTGCCTCACATCAACATGTTGGTGGATAACACAGCTAGGCACTCTATGCTTTTTTTCATGGACGGTCTAGATCTAACTAGATAAGGAGGGCCCAAGATGACATGGAGAAAACTATTTTTGCAACTACATGAGGTACCTTTTGATACAAAGTTATGACATTTGGTTTGAAAAATGCTAAACTAACTTATTAAAGAGTCGTGATGACACTCTATTATGACATGATGCATAAGGAGATCAAGATGTATATGGATAATATGATTGCAAAATCTCGTTAGGGAGAAAACCATGTTGTCAACCTCAAAAAATTATACACTTGGAGTTAAGTCAGAGAAATTACTAGGCTTCGTGATTAGTGAAAAAAAGGATTGAAGTCAACCCAAACAAGATACATGCTATTTAGAATTTGTCGCCTCCAAGCACACCGAGAGAAGTTTGAGGTTTCCTAGGTAGATTGAACAATATTTTTGGATTCATTTCTCAGCTTACCTATAAATGTAATCCTATCTTTAAGCTTTTTTGCAAGTACAACCTTAGAGAGGAATGAGGAATACAAAGAGGCTTTTAATAAAGTTAAACAGTACTTATCAAATCTTTCAATTGGTGCCACCCGTTTTAGGAAGACTATTAATCTTATAGTAAATGAGAAGTCGATGGGATTTATGCTAGGACAATAAGATGAATATAGCAAAAAAGAGTGAGTTATCTACTATTTGATTAAAAAGTTCACAGAATATAAGTCCAAGTATTCCTCATTTGAGAAAATGTGTTATGCTTTAGTTTATATAACTAAAAGACTTAAGTAGTATATACTCTACCATGCCCCTTGGCTTATAGTGAAGTTAAACCTAATCAAGTATATCTTTGAAAAGCCTTCGCTATCTAGAAACATTGTAAGGTGGCAAATGATGCTCTCAGAATATGATATCGTATATGTAAGGTAGAAGGCAATCAAAGAAAGTACCATAATCGAATCCCTAGCAGATTGTCCTATTCAAAACTATGAAACAATTAAGCTCGATTTCCATGATGCAGAGTTAATGGCTATCTCTCAACTTGATGATGAGGAGTATGATGAGACGTCTTGGATAATGTACTTTGATGAAGCTACTAATGCTTTGGGGTAATTTTGATATCTCCTAAAGAACATTACTGTTCCATAATAGCCGGGTTGAATTTCAATTACAATAATAACATCATTGAATATAAGGCCTATATCATGGGTTTACAAGCTGCTATAGATAGAAAATTTTAAGTATTAAAGGTAGTTGAGGACTCAACTTTGGTTATCCATCAATTGAAAACAGAATGTCAAACAAGAGATTTAAAACTCAACCCATATTTTAAGTATATTTAAGAGTTGATTAAGCAATTAGAAGCTATCCAATTTGAGCATTTACCTTGTGAAGAGAATCAAATTGTTGATACCTTGGCTACTTTGATCATAATGATCCGAATTGATGATAACACTTATATTCAATCCATCAAATTAAATGTTAAAGACGTGCCAAATCATTGTTTTAATGTGGAAGAGGAAAATGATGGAAAAACATGGTATTATGATATGTTATAGTACATTAAGAATCAAGAATATCCAGACTAAGTAACTAAAAATTATAAAAAAGTCATCAGGAGACTAGCTATGAGTTTCTTCCTGAATGGTGATGTTCTATATAAGAAAAGTCATGATCAAATGTTATTGAGATGTTTAAATGCGACTGAGGTGAAAAAGATTATTGATAAGGTGCATAATGGAATATATGGGGTACATGTGAATGGATATATGATGGCAAGTAGACTTGTTCATGGGTCAAGTTGGATTTGAGTTAGGTTAGCATGGTATTCTAGTATTTTAAGTAAGCCTAGGCCTAGCCTTGCTCGACTTTTCAAGTTTTAATTTTTGCCTAAGCCCGTTCCTACATGTAATAATAAAATCTAAACCTGTCTAAAACACTGGTATTTAAAATTGGAAAAAAAGTTTTTTTCATTTTTTTTGTAAATTATTAATTTAACTAATTTAATTAATTTTAATTAAATTCATGAGTCAGTTGGGCTTAGGTTCAAATTAATTTTGTTGAATGTAATTTAAATTGGATCATTATTTTGTATAAAAAAAAAATGAGCTTCATCATATTATACGTAATAAAGCAAATGGGCATTGTCCATTATAAAAAATAAAGCAAATAGACTTTGTCCCACTATGATAAAAAATATTTTTTAATTTTCGAGTCAGGCCTAGGCCTTAAATGGTGAAATCCAAGCCTAACCCTATTTTTTGAGTAAGTCTCATTTATTTATCCAAATCTATTTAATGGACTTAATATTCATGTCTAAGTCCTTCAAAATTTAAGGGCAAGCTTTCAGGTTTGAGCGGGTCATCCGACCCATGAGTAGGTCTAATCGCAAGGTAAATCATGAGGGTTGAGTACTACTAGTTAATAATAGAGAGTGATTGCATTGACTATGTTAAAAAATGTCACAATTGCAAAATCTATGCTGATAAAATTCATGCTCTGCCCATTACTTTACATATGTTGGCACCACCTTGGCCATTCTTTATATAGGACATGAATGTTATTAGTCCTATCACTTTGAAAGCTTCAAATGGGTATAGATTCATTTTTGTGATGATAAACTATTTCATGAAATGGGTAAAAGCAACATTATATAGAAATGTGACACAATATGTGGTTTACAATGACGCAATATGTGGTTTACAATGACACAATATATGGTTTACAATGACACAATATATGGTTTACAAGTTCATAAAGAGTTAGATCATTCGTAGATATGGACTTCTAGAGAGGATTATTTCAGATAATGCCAAAAACTTGAATAGTAAGATGATGAAAGAGATATGTGCTTAGTTCAAGATGATGAATCATCATAACTCTATGGCATACCGTCAAAGATGAATGACATAGTTGAAGCCACAAACAAGAATATAAAAATGATTCTTGAAAAGATAATCGAGACATATAAAGAATGGCATAAGAAGTTGTCATTTGCTCTGCATGCTTATCAAACATTAGTACATAATTGTCGTAACGTATTGGTCCATAAACTCGATAACTAGACATAAAAATTTTAAATTATGAAAAAACTGAGAGTTGCCACCAATCTTTTTAAGGGTGTGATTGGCCACCCAAAAGATTTATCTTTTTAATAAAACAAAAAAACGGGTTTAAAATTTATTAAAAAAAAATTTGGTCTACGAAAATAGGACTAGGTTCAAGAGTCAATTATGTGTGAAAAAGATTAGCACTCTCATTTCACCCATAAAAATTGGTACAATTAACCATGCGTTATCTATAATTTTGGACAAATATGGTTTTTATTTAAGATTTAATAATAATTCTCCCTTTTTTTAAAGAAAGAAAATCAATTAAAAATCATATTTACGAATATTTTTAAAATTTTTAAATTAAAAAAATAATTTAAAATTTTCTAATATATAAGCAGAATTCAAAGATAATCCTTTTTATCTAAGATTCACCACAACATTTCTTTAAAAATAAAATAACATCTTTTGCAAATGATAATTATTAGTAATTTTTCAATAACTAAGCAAAGTACCAAAAATTATCTTCTTTAGAATTTTATTTTAATTTTATTTTTTTGAAATCAAATTTTTTGAAAAAAAAATTTTATATAGTAAACATAATGTCATAAATAGCAATAACTACAATACGTACATATGCATGATAAGTGCAGATAATGATTTAAAAATAGATAAATGCAAATGTGTGTCTTATGCAATGATGCGAATTTAAAAATCGGGTCTTTAAATATAAAGAGATAACTTAGACTCTCCAACTTCTAAATAGAATTTGAATGTGACTATTTATATTTAAGATTTCACTTTTATTGTTTTATTCTTTATTTAATTTTATTATTATTAGATTAATATAGTATATGAAAATTTTTTAATGAAATAAAAATTTCTAAATATTCCATCATCTAGACGACATTCGAAAACAAACTATCTTACAAAAGACTTTCACACAAATCCTTAAATTTTGGGATGGTTTAGAATATTGGG